CAGGAGGTTGAAGCTGCAGTAAGCCAAAACTGTGCCACTGTACTCCAGCCTGGGCAAATTGGAGTGAGGCCCTGTCTCAAAAAAAAAAAAAAAAAAAAAAAGAGGGGTGCCTCTTTGTGAACACCGTGTATGTCTCCGCAGCACATCAGCAACAAGTCCTGCTTGTCAGTCGCTGGTTCCCATGGAAAATGGGAAGAGCAGCTCTGAACTCAGCCCTTGAGAAACAGGGATGGCAACAGAACAGGCAGAAGCAAGACCTGGCAAAGGCACTGGTCCCTGCCTGTCAAGTACCTGGCAACAGTGACAGCCGGAAGCGGCACCCCCTGCAGCCCTCTTAGGATGTGCTGCTTGCTCTTCTCCACCGGTCACGCTGCAGCTGCATTCTCCTGGGACCCCAGTGCTACTCCCAGGCCAGGAGGCCTCCATGCTTCTCAAAGTGTCTAGCTCATCTGGGGCTCGAGTCACCCCCCCTTCGGACTGCGGTCATATCCCTCCTCCTCCTGCGGCGTTTAGGCCCTTTCTACTTCTCCTCTTCTCCAGCCCCGCTGCTTTCCCGGGGGATGTCAGAGTCCATGGGTGACCCCACTGCCGCCCTGGGTGCCAGCTGGTGGCTCCTGCAGCTCTGGAGATCCCACCCCAGTCTCCTAGCCCCTGGGTCACATCCTCACTCCTAGCGCCTCCAGGAGCTTTCCCATTTCAGAAAGTGTGAGCTCTTGACCGCTACTGCCTCCATCCTGCTCTCCGTTGCTGTGACACATTTATTCTTTCATTTTTGTTTGAGATAGGGTCTTGCTTTGTCACCCAGACAGGAGTGCAGTGGCACAAACATAACTCACTGCAGCGTCAACCTCCCGGCCTCAAGCAGTCCTCCTACCTCAGCCTCTCAAGTAGGACCGCAGATACACATCACCCTGCCTGACTGATTGTTTTCTCTTGTGTTGTAGAGACATCGTCTCGCCATGTTGCCCAGGCTGGTTTGAAACTCCTGGGCTCAAGCAATCCGCCCACCCTGGGCCTCTTAAAGTTCTGGGATTACAGGCACGAGCCTGCATCTGGCCATATGTATTCTTTAACCTCATCTAGACTTCCAGGTCCTACACTGCTTTCTCCCAATCCATCAGCCTCCTGAGCTTCACCTCTTTTCTGACCCCACCATCAGTTATATCTACCCTACTCTGCCAGCGATCCTGAAGGTGAGTATACTGGAATAATTCTTCCCTTCTCAGAAAAAGACTTAATTTCCTTGAAAATGGAAAGTCCAAGATTAGTCTCATCAACAAATAAAGCCGCATATGCCTACCCTTCCTTCTGTTAGGTATCTACTCAGCAAAGGTAAAGTGTGCAGCACTGCATGTCTGTTCTCTTCATTACCAGATGGCATTTCCAGATCATTCCTGGCATCTGGGAGCCTATCTCATTTTTGTACGCTTCTCCAAGTCTCCCCTTTTCCCTATTTTTGTCTTCCAATGGATCCATCAGGTTCTTGTTCCAAATTTCCTTGTAGCGTGCTTGCTTCAGCAGCACATATACCAAATTTCCTCGTAGAGAGGAGTTGCCTTGTAGGGGAGAGGGGGCACACCCTAGCATTTGAACTCCTTCCTTACTGGGGGGAATCTCTCACTGTGTGACTCGATGGAAGACCAAGCCCAGTCTCCCACTTACAGGGGTGAAAGAGTTCTGGACACTCTCCACTGCTGACATCTATTGGTACATGATGGACCAAGCCAGCTGGGTGACCCAGCATGGGACCTTTATCTGGAGCAAGTGACACTAAGACGCACAAGAGGGGCAGGCGTGTCCAGTGGCAGCAGCACTGACAGCAGTATCCTTCCCAGTCTGTCTTGGTTTCTGCCCTTTTTCCCAGCCAGGTTTTCCTGCCTTCCTGTTGATATTTGAACTATTGAGAGCCTTTCAATAAATTCTTTTTCTGCTGAAGTTGGCTGGAGTCATTTGCAACCAAGAACCTTAACAGATCTATCCACTGGCTTGAAGGTTACACGTTCTGTTTGTTCTATTAGCAGTTATCTTTACAGTCTCTAAGATTAGCAAATATTATTGATTTCTTTTAAACTGCAAACTACAGTCTGTAATATTCCATAATTATTCTCATCCCCCTCCTCCTCCTGGCAGGAAAAATGAGGACAGATTTCAGAATTTGACCCTAGAAACATACGTACACTTTTATTTTATCTTATTTTACAGAGACAGGGTCTCACTATGTTGCCCAGGCTGGTCTTGAACTCCTGGGCTCAAATGATCCTCCTGCCTTGGCCTCCCAAAGTGCTGGGATTACAGGCAAGAGCCACTGTGCCTGGCTCATACTTACATTTTTCTAACGGTCTAAACTTCTTCAGCACAAAAAGAACCCCAGTGTGCTTCCACTAACACACTGAGTTAGTAAAGTGGAGTGTGGAGGTGGTGAGCAAGGACTCTGGGGTCGGGATGCCCAGCTGTGACTCCTGGTTCTGCTGCTAATCATCCTTACATGTCAGAATGACCTTAGGCCAAAGTCAGACTGGACTGAGAGGTACTGACATTACTAAAGAAAGAATGTACAATCTGCCTGCACACAAATAAGAGACTCAGAGGCAAACACTGACAGTCTGCAACATCATTCCAAATGGTGTCCAGGTTTCTAAGTCTACAAGGTGTAGTCTGAGGATGGTAGTGACTCTCTAAAGTAAATGTTCTTTCTGTGGCCTCTTCAAGGCAATACCCCAACCTAACATTCAAGCTTCTGCACAAGGCAGGGCAGGAAAACTGGGGACTGGGCAGGATCAAAGGCCTGATGCCGAGGTGCGGGATGGTGGGGACTCAGGGAAGGCGGAACTTGGGTAAGTAATGTGCCCTGGTCAATAAGAGGAGGCCATGGGCTGGAATTAGACTGGAGAACCTGGAAGCTACAGCCACATCCTATGGAACATCTACAAGAGTTTCTGCAATCTTTTAATCTAATATTCAAGCCCCTTCTTCAGCTCTAAGCAATATGGGCATCATTCATCCAACATTTATTGAGCACCAGCCATGTGCCAGGCACTGTTCAAAGCTGAGGCGGGGTGAAGGAGAGGGCAGATAAACATGCTGGCATATAGGTGTTTTGACAGCTGAAACTCAGGCATCAAAGAGAGGCACCTGCCCCAGCCGAGGGAAGGCTTCCAGGAGGAGGTGATGCGCCCAAGGCTCATAAAGTCCTGGGGAGAAAGGTCTGACTGGCCCCTGAGCTTTGGCCAGGGGAGCAGTTCCACCAAAATGGAATCCCGGGGAAGAGGGGGAGAGCCTAAAGGGCATGAGGGATGTCAGGAGGCAGAATGAACATTGGACAGGCACACACAAAAGCAAAGCAACTGAGGTCCACTGTCATCACTGTGGCGTGTGGACTTCCCTGGCTACCCTTCCTGGAACTTGGATTTGGAACCTTCCCTCGAGTCTTTCTCCCTGTTTATCTCATCTCCTTTAGATGTGTTTGGGCAGGATTTCTTTTATTTGCATTTTAAGAAATTTGAAAAAAGTACAATAAAACAACCAAAAAAAAATTGCTTCTATTCTCAACACCCAAATTAACTGCTGTTAACATTCTGGCAATTTGATTCCATCATTTTCCTGCATATTACCCCCCTTCAATTTAATGAGTAGGCTGGGCGCGGTGGCTTATGCTTATAATCTCAGCACTTTGGGAGGCCAAGGCAGGTGGATTGCCTGAGGTCAGGAGTTCGAGACCAGCCTGGCTGACATTGCAAACCCTGTCTCTACTAAAAATACAAAAATTAGCTGGGTGTGGTGGCACGCGCCTGTAATCCCAACTAGTTGGGAGGCTGAGACAGGTGAATCACTGGAATCCAGGAGGCAGAGGTTGCAGTAAGCTGAGATCGTGCCACTGCACTCCAGCCTGGGTGACAGAGCAAGACTCGGTCTTAAAAAAGAAAAAAAAAAAAAATTAATGAGTAACAGATTATCCCCAATCATTTGCTTTGTAAAACAACATTGCTGGCCGGGCATGGTGGCTCATGCCTGTAATCCCAGCACTTTGGGAGGCCAAGACAGGTGGATCACCTGGGGTCAGGAGTTCAAGACCAGCCTGGCCAACATGGTGAAATCCCATCTCTACTAAAAATACAAAAAATTAGCTGGGCGTGGTGGCAGGTGCCTGTAATTCCAGTTACTCAGGAGGCTGAAGCAGGAGAATCGCTTGAACCTGGGAGGCGGAGGTTACAGTGGGCCGACATAGTGCCATTGCACTCCAGCCTGGGCAACAAGAGGGAAACTCCATCTCAAAAATACAAAAACAAAAACAAAACACTGCCTAAAACCATCCATTGGAAGGCTGATGGTTCTCCTGGATGGATCAAGCTGGCAACACTCAAAGGTCTGATCAATTTTCACACCACTGACTGTGGAACCAGATCTGCAGCGGTTAAGTGCCCCCTAGAGGGACATTATAGAAGTACACAGCACCAAAAAGAATTCTTGCAAAACAGCTGAACCTGAATCTAACCAAGCTTCTAGTTTACAAAAAACACTGATGAAGGAATATGGGAAAAAACCACAAAGTGTCAACCAAGTCCGGATTAGAGACAATTCTATAGGACAACTAACAGTTTCTTCAACAAATAAAAGGCAATTTTAAAGGCGAGGTTCTCTCTTACAGATTTTTAAAAGATTTATTGGCCGGGCATGGTGGCTCATGCCTGTAATCCCAGCACTTTGGGAGGCTAAGGTGGGAGCATCACTTGGGCCCAGGAGTTCAAGACCAGCCTGGGCAACAGAAGGCAATCTCTTCTCTACAAAAAATAAAAAATAAATTAGCCAGGTGTGGTGGTGCCCCAGCTACTTGGGAGGCTGAGGTGGGAGGACTACTTGAGTCTAGGAGGTCGAAGTGAGCCAAGATTGTGCTACTGCACAGCCTGGTGACAGAGAGAGACTCCATCTCATTTTTTTTTTTTTTTTAAAAAAGACATATCAACTAAATGTAGTGTGTGTGTGTGTGTGTGTATATATATATATTTTTTTAATCCAAAATGTGTTTATTGAGATGGTTTCCCACTCATCTTGATTCAGAGTGCTTTTAGTGCTGCTTCCTCCTAAAGGAACATCCTTCTGTAAGCCTTGCTTTTCCTCCTGTAGGCTGGCAGAGGACAGTGGAGCAGCCAACACACAAAACTACCGTTTGTGCACGGCTAAGGACCGTGGTGATTTTACAGCATCCTGGGCATTTCACATCCATGAAGTAGGAACTGCGACTCTGCACCAGGCGTTTCTTCTTGTGTTTCCTCTTCTCCTCTTCTGGGGAGGGATGAAGGAGATCCTTTGCGAGAGGCATGTTCTCGTGTGGGTAGTTCATCACCACCGGAAAGCAACGTGTAGATATTTTAAAATCCTAATTCAAAACAAACCAACAATTAAAAGACACTTTTTATTTTTGTTTTTTAGAGACAGGGTCTCACTTTGTCACCTAGGTTGGAGCACGGTCGTGGGATCACTGTAGCCTCAAACTCCTGGTGGACTCAAGTGATCCTCCTGTCTCAGCCTCCTGTGTAGCTGGGACTCTGGCACACGTCACCACACCCAGCTAATTTTTTTTTTTTGGTAGAAATGAGATCTCGCTTCAAGCAGGAGGATCGCTTGACCCCAGGAGTTCAACACCAGGCTGGGCAACATGGCAAAAGTCCATCTCTATCTACAGAAACAACACCACCACCCCCCCAAAAAAAACCCCAAAATTGACCAGTGCATGCCTGTGGTCCCAGCTACTCGGGAGGCTGAGGCGGGAGGATTGCTTGAGCCTGGGAGGTCAAGACTGCAGTGAGCCGTGACGGCACCACTGCACTCCACCCTGGGTGAGAGCAAGATCTTGTCTCAAACAACAACAAAAACCCCCAAAGTTTGCAATGAAGATTCACGTATATGTCTCTCCAGCAGTCTGAACGCTCTCTAGGTTAGATACATGCAAGTGGATTTGCTAAAGGAAGGAATGAGTATTTTTACCTTTACTAAAACTGCCAAACTTCTCTCCAAGTGTTTGTAACAATTTGCCGTTTCACCAGTTTCTCCACAATCCCAAAACACTTGTAATTTCTGTCACTCTGACAGATAAAATATAGTATCTTATTAAGTTGCATTTCCCTAATAGTTGTATAGTTGAGCATGTCTTCATATCTTTGCCACTGAAATTTCTCCTGAAAATGGCTTTTCATATCCTTCAGTCATTTTTTTTTCTTGATTCGTATTTCATTCATATTACAATATTAAATTTGTGTTGTATATGTTACAAATATTTCTAATTTGTTGTGTTTTAAATCGGTCTATAGAAAACTCCTGCAAGTTGTAAATTGTAACGTGGTCAAATTTATCACCATTTCATTGGTAGGGGAAAAAATATTTTCCTCACCCATCTTAAGGGTTATGACTGACACCCCTATAACAAGATTATTGAGAGAAAGGCATAACAAATTTAAAGTCTTATGTGACACAGGAACCTTCAGAAACGAAGACCCGATGACCTAAAGAAAACTGTATTTTTATGCTAAGTCTGATGAAAGAAGTAGAGTTGTGGAGAAACATGATTGGACAAAAGGAGCATCATCTAATGGTCATACATAGGGGTGGGAGGAGACTTCGGCAAGGCCCATTTGTTCAGATCCTTTCTTGCGTCTCTGCATGACACTTCTCCGCCCCAGGTATGCGGCAAGACTCCTCTGGAATGAGGGTCTTACGACCTACTTCACATGAGGTAGGCCAGTGAATTCTTTTATGACCCTGGTTTATGGGAGAAAGGCAGGAGCAGATCACATAGACCTTTCTTCTGTGGTTTTCTCAGCCGCCAAGGTGCCATATTTTGGCACATTTATGGATTTTGCTTGTGTCTTATCCTGTCCTTGTTATTGATTTTAATAATACTTCCTGGCAGGGTGCGGTGACTCAATTTGCTAATACTTTATTTGAACCTTGCCTCTGCTCATAAATGAAATGGGCTTTTGCCTTTTCTTCAGTTGTTCTCGATCAGATATATATAATATTTTCTTAAAGTATTTGGGCTAATCTCATAAAGTAAGCTAGGTAACAAGAGTTTAGCGAGGTACCAAATCTAAAACAGGTAGGCAGATTGTTTTTTCTATTCTCATTCTTTCCCTATTTGGGTTTTTCTGAAGCTAGGATAAGGCCAGGGCCCCTTATTCAAGATCGCCCTTCCCTATCCCCCAAACACACACAATATCCCCAAAGTGTCATTGTTCAAGTTCCAACGTGGGGCTAGCTCCTAGGAGCTTGATCCTCCTACTGGGGCTACTGGTGTTAATGGCCATGGGGCCTTGTGAGAGCACATGTTCATGATAGTCCAACTCAAAGAAACTAGGAGAGAGTATTAAGTGATTGAGAATTACACCTTAACTACCGGGTCTTAACTTCTTTAAATGAAAAATGAAACTTACTACCATCTAAGTCACACGTGTTTTGAGACGTCCATGATAAAATTTTGAAAAAGCACCCAGTACGCTGGGTGGCACGAACACGCAACGGGGCGAGGGCCCCTACAGCAGCGACAACCTTAACAGAGTGACCCTCAGCTGTCGTCTCTGTGCCTCCTTCCCGGCTGGAACCGGCGAGGACGCTAACACAGCCCTCACTGGGCAGGACGCGGCTTGAACTGTTTAACGGCCCCGAGCGCTGGGAACCCATCCCTGCACGCGCGCCCTCACGGACCGGTCGCTTGAAAGACTGCTATTCACTTTCCGACTGCCCCACCGCCAGAAGAGCGTCGGACCGCGTGACCGTCACCAACTCTTCGAACTCTGGGGCGCCTCGGCCTTCTCCCGCGCCAACCTGGCGCGAAGACCATGGACACGGCGCGCACCGGGACCAGCGAACCCAAACCACTACCACCTGCTGTAGACCGCAGCTAAAAGTCCGCCCCACGCGCAGGCGCAGCACGTGCATGCCCTTCCACCCCGCCTCGAGACTCCGCCCCCAGGCTCCCGTACCGCCCGCCCCTCCCAGGGTCGCGGCTCAGGATTGGTTCAGGGGTGATGCGGGCTCTGATTGGGCGAGGCGGAGTCGCCGGGGCGCCGCCGCTCTACGTGGCCGTCTTCCCGGCGGGTGTTGGATGTTGTGCAACGGCTGACAGGGCGTCCCCAGCGTGTCCGCGCCCGCGGCTTTCTCCGGGCTCTCCGCAGGCGTCGTGCCCGCATCCGTCACGCGTGGTGGCTCTCAGGGGCGCACCGCACAGGCCTTTGCCGGGCGCTGGGAGGGCGGGGCCCTACACCAGCGACAGCCTTAAAGGAAAACGTGTTAGGGACAAGGGCTGCCGTGGGCAGCCAGGGTTGTAGACTCATTTGTGTTCTGAATTCTGGTGGGGGTGGTGATGGATGCTGCCCCAGTTCACAGAATTATCTGACTGGGGAGGTAAAGGTACTTGAATTGCAGGGACTGGTTTTGGCCCTGTGTCCCCTTTATTTTGGCCCAGTGTGCTTCCATTCGAGTAGTCTGTAGTGGAACTATTTTTTTTTTTTTCCCCCAAAAAACAGTTATTTGAAAACACGTGATGGAGCAGAATGAAAGTAGTAGGGAGGAATTCCTGGGAATTTGCCTTTTTTTTTTTTTTTTCTTTCTTAACCTTAAGGAGTTTCCACTTGTCGATTGTGGCAAAAGAAGAGGTATGGGAGACCTCACCTACAACATCAAAAATCACCTTTTCTATTTGTTTTTCTGTTCGCTGGTATGAGTAAAATACCAAATGAAAATAAAAAGGTGAGGCCTAACATAAGTTTATTCCAAATGCCAGTTTACTGTTGGAAATACTAGAGGCAAAACGTGCATGGCTTGGAATGTGTGAAGGCCCCGTGATGTGCCTAATAATAATCTTGTCCATTTTGAGCAGGAAAAAAAATCAAGGTGAACTGAAGAAAGTAAGTTCCCAAAGCAGGCAGAAGATGTTGGAAGATGAGATGTCAGAAGCTAAGGACAATAGCAGTAGAGATGAGGTAATTATATGTACAGAATTGAGCAGAGTAGCATTTATTATTGTCAACAATTAAAATCCATAGTAAAGCAGTTAAACTGCATTGTTTAATCTCAAAAGTTGGCTGGGCTGGATGGCTGTCGCCTGTAATCCCAGCACTCTGGGAGGCGGAGGAGGGTGGGTCACTTAAGCCCAGGAGTTTGAGACCAGCCTGGGCAATATGGCGAAACCTATCTCTGCTAAAAATACAGAAATTAGTCGGACGTGGTGTCTTCCACCTGCAGTCCCAGCCACTCGGGAGGCTGAGGCAGCAGAACCGCTTGAACCCGGGAGGCGGAGGTTGTAGTGAGGGCGCCACTGCACTCCAGCCTGGGAGACAGAGTCTGTCTGAAAGAAAAAAAAACAACAACACACAAACCTCAAAAGTGATATTGCAAACACTTTTCAACTAGTATTACAAGTCCACACTAAACTTGATACCAAAACCTGACCAGGTCGTTTTGAGAAATCACAGACCACTCTCTTTCATGAGCATAGATAAAAAAATTCCAGAAATATTAGCAAATTGAATATCAATGTTATGCAAAGAGTAATACATCATAATGCCTCGTGACCAAGTGTGGGTTATTTTGGGAATGCCAAGGTGTTCTTTGTAAAGTCATATTGGTTGTCTGGAAATACTGGTTTAAAAGAAAATCTCTTCATTCTTTAAATTGATTCATTAAAATTCATTCATTTATGGCCCAGGAGGGTGGTGCTTTCCCTCAGCCCTGCCTGGCTGTTTTAAATTGAAAAAAAAGAAAAGAAAAGAAGTCTATTACTTTGTGTACCTGCCAAACATGTTTTCGTATTTCTTCTTTTGACAAATATTGAAGTCTTTACTATGTTCTTCTGAGAGCCTCTCCTTTGAAATTTGAAAATAGGTTTAAGTTGAGTCCTGAAAGAATTAAGGTGGGTTAGTGGGTACACAGCTAATGAATATGGAATGCTTCATATGTGCAGCCATTGTACGAGGGCTTTATGCCAGGGGTCCCCAAGCCCTGGGCCATAGACTGGTGGTACTGGTCTATGGCCTGTTATGAACCAGGCCGTACAGCAGTAGGTGAGCGGTGGGCAAATGAGGGAAGCTTCATCTGTATTTACAGCTGCCTCCCCATTGCTGGCGTTACTGCCTGAGCTCCGCCTCCTGTCAGATCAGCTGCAGCAATACTGTCTCATAGGAGCACAGACCCTTTTGAGAACTGTGCATGTAAGGAATCTAGGTTTTACACTCCTTATGAGAACCTAATGCCTGATGATTTGTCACTGTCTCCCGTCACCCCTAGATGGGACTGTCTAGTTGCAGGAAAACAAGCTCAAGGCACCCACTGATTCTACATTATGGTGAGTTGTATAACTATTTCATTATATATTACAATGTAATAACAGAAATAAAGTGCACAATCAATGTAATGTACTTGAATCATCCCTCTTCCCTCCCACTGGATGCATGAAAAATTGTCATCCACAAAACCAGTCCCTGGTGCCAAAAAGGTTGGGGATCACTGCTTTATACATTGTTTCATTTCATCCTCACAGTGACCAGGTTAGGTAGGCATCATTAGTTCTATTTTTTAGACAAGAAAGTGTGCTCGCTTCGGCAGCACATATACTAAAATTAGACAAGAAAGCAGATTTAGCCATGAACCAGCTTGCTCATGTTTCCAGAACTAATAAGTGACAGCCAGGGTTATACATAGGTCTGCTGAATCCAAACCCCCTATACCTTTCCCATTTATTTCTCAGTCTTCTCCTAAGCAGCTTGATCTGAGAGGCAGATAGCATTTATTTGTTGTCCACTTTGAGCAGCTAGTTGTGTGATAGAAACTTTCTTCAACCCTCTTCAGTCTAGTTGTTTTAATTAATCAAAAGTAAAAGTGGGTTTTGGGTGCCCTTGTCACACACACTTATTAGGGATGATGGATTTGTTAATTTACTTGACTGTAGTAACCATTTTGCCGTAAGTATATTAAAACATGCTGTACACTTTAAATATATACAATTTTTTAAAAAGTAAAAGTAGGGAAATCATGAAAATTATCCATCCATACCTTTTGATTTTAATTTAAGACATATTATGTATTCCTTTGGCAATATTTTGATATGGAACCAAGGCCTTACCTTCGAGTTTGCTGCTGGAGTAGCTTATCTTCCCTGCATAAAGTATACACATAATGCATTTTCTGCAATTTAAAGTTTGTTTCTTTAAAGCAAATGAAAATTCTAACACCCTAGTAAGTAAAGCAATTTGAATACAGATTCCCACAGTTTTATGGCTTTTCCCATTCTTTTATGGTTGCTCACGCACACTTAATTTGATTGCAGTTTTTTAAGCTTTATCAAGTACTTCCAAAGCATTGAAGTTTGTTTTCATTGACTCAATAACTTTTTGCATTTATTTTCTTTTATTTTTTGAGATGGAGTCTCACTCTCGTTGCGCAGGCTTGAGTGCAATGGCACAATCTTGGCTCACTGCAACCTCCAGCTCCTGAGTTCAAGTAATTCTTTTGCCTCACCCTCTCAAGTAGCTGGGATTAGGGGCATGTGCCACCACACCCAGCTAATTTTTTATTTTTAGTAGAGATGGGGTTTCATCATGTTGGTCAGGCTGGTCTCGAACTCGTGACCTCATGTGATCTGCCCGCATCGGCCTCCCAAAGTGTTGGGATTGTACAGGTGTGAGCCACTGCGCCCGGCCCTTTTTGCGTTGATTGTATTGGTCTATATGATGTTTAGTTAATTCTGCAGTTGAAACTGCAAATACTATGGTCATATATAGGTTAGCAAACACCACAGCAGGTTCTTATTAAAGATACAGTTCAGCTCACAGGAATAGAGACACTCACATTAGTATGGGTACCACAGAGTGGCCCACTCATGCTTGACATTTCGTAAGCATTAAGTTATTATAGTAAGACCTATTTGGAATTGAGACAGTCATTTAATCCAGCCAGTTGGTTAAGTTGAGAAACATAAGGTAGCATTTACTGTATCGGTTGAGTATCCCTTATCCAAAATGCTTGGGACCAGAAATGTTTTAGACTTCAGATTTTGTGGATTTTGGCATACTTGCAGATATGTAATGAGATATCTTGGGGATGGCACCCAAGTCTAAACACAAAATTCATTTATGTTTCATATATACCTTATATACATAGCCTAAAGGTAGTTTTAGTTTTCCCTCCGGTACACTGAATAAACCGTGTTTTGCACCTACATTTTGACACTGACCCATCATACAAAGTCAGAATTGGGGCTCTAATGACATGAATAATTGATGTATATTCTCTTGGGGCAGTAGCGTCCGTACTCGTAGAAATCTGGATGCTTCCCTGTGGAGAGTCTGGTTTGTTAGTGGTAAGTGAAGTCTGAGAATTTTTCTTTTTTTCTTTCTTTCTTTTTCTTTTTTTTTTTGAGATAAGAGTCTCACTCTGTTGCCCAGGCTGGAGTGCAGTGGTGTGATCTTAGCTCACTGCGACTCCACCTCCCGGGTTCAAGCAGTTCTCATGCCTCACCTGCCCGGGTAGCTGGGACTACAGGTGTGCACCACCATACCTGGCCAGTTTTTAAATTTTTTTTTTTAGTAAGACAGGGTTTCACCATGTTGGCCAGGCTGGTCTTGAACTCCCAGTCTCAGATGATCTGCCCACCTTGGCCTCCCAAGTGTTGGAATTACAGACATAAGCCACCATTTTTTTAATTTTTAAGAAAATTAAAAAAAACACCATTCTGTTTTTTTAAATTTTCTCTCTTGAGACAGAGTTTCACTCTTGTTGTCCAGGTTGGAGTGCAATGGCATGATCTCGGCTCACGGCAACCTCTGCCTCCCGGGTTCAAGCAATTTCCCTGCCTCAGACTCCTGAGTAGGTAGGATTACAGGCATCCACCACCACGCCCAGCTAATTTTGTATTTTCAGTAGAGATGGGGTTTCTCCATGTTGGTCAGGCTGGTCTCGAACTCCTGACCTCAGGTGATCCGCCCGCCTCCACCTCCCAAAGTGTTGGGATTACAGGCGTGAGCCACCAGGCCTGGCCTTCTTTTTTTTCTTTAGACAAGCATGCCACGTCATTCTGGTGCTGGAAGACTTTTTACTACATTTCTCTAGGAGAAATCCATCTTAGAGAGATGAAATAGTTGTTGATTTACATGCCTGACCCGAATCTTGCACTTAGCGACTGTGCAGTGTGACTGTAGCTTCATGAAGAGGCATCTTCATTGTTGCTGTTTCTCCTCCAGGTTCTTGTCCCTCATAAGAATTGTGGGAAGAATACTACTGCCCCAGGAAAGAAAGTAGGGGAGGAAAAGTCTCTGGCTCCTGTGTTTTCTGAGAAGTTAGTATCACCAAGCAGGAGGGAAGCCAAGCTCAAGGACCATAAGAGCCACCAGGAGAATGATGACTGGAACAGTGAATTGGACCAGGATGAGGAAGGTAAAGAACCCTTCTGCAGGGGGTTCCTGGTGAGTGGCTGTGAGTTAGAGACAAGCTGCTGTGTGTGCCATTCTAGCACTTGGGGAGAGATTCTGTTAAAAATCCATCCTTCTGAAAAATGCCTTGGCAATCCCTGGCTGATTCTTCATGATTGGCCTCATTGAGGAGTTTCAGTGGATGTTTGACCTTTGCTGTCTGCCTGACCCTAGTCAGAGATTTTCTTTTTCTTTCTTTCTTTTTCTTTTTCTTTTTCTTTTTTTTGAGACAGAATCTTGCTCTGTTACCCAGGCTGGAGTGCACTGGTGTTGTCTTGGCTCACTGCAACGTCTGCCTCCTGAGTAGCTGGGATTACAGGCACGTGCCACCACACTGGCTAATTTTTAAATTTTTAATAGAGATAGGGTTTGGCCATGTTGATCAGGCCGTCTTGAACTCCTGACCTCAAGTGACCCGCCCACCTTGGCCTCCAAAGTGCTGGAATTACAGGCATGAGCTACCGTGCATAGCCCAGAAATTTTGTCTTTAAATACTATACATTAATGAGTTCTGTCTTTGTGCTTATGAACCACGCAGGTAGGTCATCTCAGATTTAACTTTCAGTGGTTTGTTTTTGTCTTAATGGAGTCTGTGTAACATTTAAAGTATTGCTACCAAAGCAGTAATTCTTACTATAGTTATTAAAATGCAAGAACCATACATTTAAAATTATTTCATAATAAAGTTAAAATGAGGCTGGGCATCGTGGCTCATACCCTGTAATCCCAGCACTTTGGGAGGCTGAAGCAGGAGAATTGCTTGAGGCCAGGAGTTCAAGACCAGCCTGGGTAACAGGGCGAGACCCTATCTCTATAAGAAATTAATAAATTAGCCAGGTATGGTGGCATACACCTGTCATCCCAGCTACTTGGTAGGCCGAGGCAAGAGGATGGATTGAGCCGGGGAGATTGAGGCTGCAGTGAGTCGTAATCTCACCACTGCACTCCAGCCTGTGCAGCATAAGTGAGACCCTATCTCAAAATAAAAAGTTAAAGTGGCTGTGAATTTTTTTTTTAGAAATTTATATACAGCCGGATATAAAAGAACAATTGTTCTCTGAAAGGAGAATTTGTTATTCTTAACTAGTCTGTGTAATAGTAATTGATTAGGTGGCTTCCCTTGTGATTCTGGGTGTGGGGGGAAAAATAAAGCTGGGACCAAAGTTAGAGAAGACCTTCCCATGAGGGTTGAAGATGATAAACAGGATGGCGACAGTGGCAGTGACAAAGGCAGTGAGGAAGAGGAGGGGGGGAAGGTCGGATGATCTGGGTCAGCCCTGTTAAGCAGTGTGACTGACATCGTGGAATGCTAGTTGTAAGTGAAGCCCATCAGAAGGGGCTGTTGTATTTCTTTGATTCATTTAAATAACTTTCTTACTAATTTAGAAATGCTTTTGAAAGTACCCTGACCAGACTCAACTCATGAGTCTTGTGACAATTAAGTGTAGCTTAGGAATATAAAAGTTTCCAGTTTACTCATTAGTGGCCCAAGCAGATGATTGCAAATGCAATATTCTAGCTTTCACCCACAGAACCTATCAAAGAAACACCTGATAAACAAAAGAAGGAAATGGCCAATCAGAAAGATTCCCCTGGAGCCAAAAAGCAAAAATTAGAAGGTAACTTATTGGCCGTGGTTTAAAGCGCAGAAGATGCATGGAGAATGTCACGTTGGCAAAAACTTAGTCTCCATTAGCCCAAACAAGCAACAATGGGATTTGCCACAGAAGCTTGGTGTTACAATCTTCAATGGATTTTCTTTTAGTGCTACTTTATCTGAACTGAGTTTTTTTTTTGTTTTTTTTTTTTTAACCTTTTTGAGTAGCAACTGAACCATGTGTAGCATTTCAGCTGTTTGTTGGAAACCTGAATTTCAACAAAACTGCTGCTGAACCAAAAGCTGGTCTCAGTTAATTTTTTGCTAACAATGATCTTGAAGTTGTTGGTGTCAGAGTTGGCTTGTCCAGGTAAGTACCAATAAACTAAGAAGGTTTTTAAGAGCTTATCAGCCCAGCACTTACTATTCCTGGAGAATTTAGGAGTTCCAGTAGCTTTATGCTACTTCATGATGGTTCATAGGCTGCTGTCTTCTCAGGTCCTTTTGTTACTGCTCTTCACCTTTTGGTGGGATTTTACCTCAGTCACTTGCAGGTCAAAGTGAATATGTAAAATCCTTCAGTGGCTCATGTTTAGTAAATCTGTTATATTAAACTTTGCTACCCCATTTTCCCAACCAAAATATTAAAATAATCCCAAGATCTTCCAAGTCTTAGAGATAGGGTCTCGCTATTTTACCCAGGCTGGTCTCAAACTCCTGGGCTCAAGTGATCCTTCCACCTCAGCTTCCCAAAGTCCTGAGCTTACAGGTGTGAGCCACTGTGCCCTGCCTGTTTCTTAAAAATTAAAAAAAAAAAATTTTTTTTTTTGAGACAGGCTCCCTCTGTCACTCAGGCTAGAGTGCAGTGATACAATCTCAGCTTACTGCAGTCTCTGCCTTCTAGGTTCAAGCAGTTCTCTTGCCTCAGCCTCCCAAGTAGCTAGGATTACAGGCGCCTGCCACCACACCTGACTAATTTTTGTATTTTTAGTAGAGACGGGGTTTTGCCATGGTGGGCAGACTGGTCCTGAACTCCTGGTCTCAAGTGATCTGCCTGCCTCAGCCTCCCAGAGTGCTGGGATTACAAGTGTAAGCCACTGCACCCAGCCAAAAATAAATACATAAATAAATAAATAACTTTTTTTGAAACAGGGTCTCACTCCATTGCCCAGGCTGGAGTGCAGTGGTGTGATCATGGCTCACTGCGACCTCTGCCATCTGGGCTCCCACAGTCCTCCCACCTCAGCCTCCTGAATAGCTGGGACTGCAGGCACACATCACCATGCCTTTTTTGTACACATGGGGTTTCGCCATGTTGCCCAGGCTGATCTTGAACTCCTGAGCTCAAGTGATCCTCCCACCTCAGCCTCCCAAAGTGCCGGGATTACAGGTGTGAACCACTGCGCCCAGCCAAAATTGGTAATTGCAAGCCACACTTTCTATAGCTTTTGGTTAAATTTTGTCAGTTGTTAAGCAGAAAACTAATAGAGATGTCAGTAGGCAAACTCTGTACTGATTCTCAATCCTTGCTCTAGAACGTGGTTTCTTGATTTCAGCACTACTGACATTCTGGACTGGACAATTCTTCTTTTTTTGGAGACAGGGTCTGGCTCTATCACCCAGGCTGGAGTGCAATGGTGCGATCTCGGCTTACCGCAACCCCTGCCCTCCGGCTCAAGCCATCTTCCCACATCAGCCTCCCGAGTAGCTGGGACCACAGGCATGCACCACTATGCCCGGCTAATTTGTGTGTGTGTGTGTGTGTGTATATTTTCTGTAGAGACAGGAAATATGTTGACCCGGCTGGTCTCAAACTCCTGAGCTCAAGCAGTCTGCCCACCTTGGCCTCGCAAAGTGCTGGGATTGCAGGCATGAACCACCACGCTGGGTCTGGGCTGGGCAATCTATGTTGTGGTGTCTGTCCAGTTCGTTGTGGGATGTTTAGCAACCTCCCTGGATTCTACCCTTTAGATACTAGATGCTTCCCTATTTGTAACAGCCAAAAATGTCTCTAGACATTGTCAAACTTGCTCCCTGGGTGAGAACTACTACTCCATAGTTACTTCACAGTACTGACTGCCAGTTTGTGGAGCCTTGGTTTTAAATTGTAAATTAGGCAGCTGCTTGTGACTTAGTGCTAATTTCTATTCCAACAGCTAGTGTGAGTAGTTAACCAGAGGCATAGGCACTTAATCTTACCTGGGTGTGCTTTTTCCCTTTCCTTCTACATCTCTGTAGGAGATTTGGTTATGTGAATTTTAAATCTGCTGATGATCAAGAAAAGGCCCTGGAACTAAGTGATACAAAAGTCCTTGGGTTTGAAATTAAATTTAAGAAACCAAAGAGAAAGGAAACAAAGGTATGCAAACAAGGTAATTTGTTCAAAGATATCGATGTATCTAGAAGATTCTGGGTCAGGCAGGAATATCACATTCTTTCTAATTTGATGCAAGTAGTCCTCAGTTTCCGACAGGCCACCTGCCTCCGTGGCACCTTGCTCTCTCTCCTGTGCTCGAGCTGCATGGCTCACCTTTCTCTGTCATAACATTCTTTCCAGGACTCAGTCCCTGGCTACTTGAAACCCATCCATCCAGTTTCAGCTTAAATATAACTTCCTCAGATCCGAAAACTCTTTCCTTACACCCACACTAGGGTAAGTCTTCTCTACTGGACTTCCTCATTGCCCCTGTTACTTGTCCATCCTGGCACTTGTCAAAGTTTATAATTACGTGACTCTTCATTTACCAGTCCTCTCCAACAAGAACGCATGCCTGAGAGCAGAGGCCAAGTTCGTGTTTTCACAGCGAGCATGTAGCACAGGCCCTAGCCCAGAGTATGTATTCAAATGTTTGTTAAACAAACGAAGATGTGTGGTTGTTTCCGCTTTGCAACTCTTTGAGGGGTGTTTTTTCTTTTTTCTTTTCTTTTTTTTTTTTTTTTAGGCAGAGTCTCGCTCTGTCACCCAGACTGGAGTGCAGTGGTGTGATCTTGGCTCACTGCAACTTCCACCTCCCATGTCCAAGCGATTCTCCTGCCTCAGCCTCCCGAGTAGCTGGGATTACAGGCACATGCCACCACGCCCAGCTGATTTTTTGTATTTTTAGTAGAGACAGGGTTTCACTGTGTTAGCCAGAATGGTCTCCATCTCCTGACCTCGTGATCCGCCCACCTTGGCCTCCCAAAGCTGGGATTATAGGCGTGAGCCACCGCACCCGGTGTGGGCCACTGTGCCCGGCCTAAGGGGTATTTTTTCTATCTTAGGGGACTTTAGATGCTTACTAAATCTAAACTCACCAAAAATATTCTTTTGTTTTTATGTAGATCAAAATGCCAAAACACTTTTGCTCAAGAACCTGCCTGACAAAGTCATTCCACATGAAACACTTCTTGTGTTTGAGGATGCTTTTCAAATCAGATTAGTGAGCAAAGATGGGATGAGTAAAAGGTATGTTTTACACCTTGTACTGAATAAGCATGTATGTCTGCTGGATACAAAATAATGGAATTTCTTTACATTCTCTCAAATCTCTTATGCCTGATTGTAGAGAAGGAAAGAGTAGTAATCCAGATTTCTGCCAGTAGGCATACAAAGCCAAAGGAGACATCATAAAGGGACAGCCAAAACTCCTAGAAAACTGTAGTGGTGCTATAGAGAAATAGAGACTTAATCTGCTACCAAGTACAAGATTGAGATTGGAATTTATTCATAGATTGTGTACATTCATTCTTCTCTCTCCAGGGCTGACTCTGCTAGAATAATGTACTTGGTAGCTTGCTTGGACAGGTACCAAAATAGAACATAGAATTGAATTGTTAGCTTTATGTTGTAACCAATTAATGAAACACTGTCCTTAGGTATCTAGGCTTTGGTAGAGTAAGAGAGTGAATATGGTGATATTAGAGAGGGTGGAGTATAATATATTTTGAAGGGATTGTCATTGCGGTGAAAATTGAATATTGGGTTTATAGATACATTTGAGCTAAATGTGTTGGTGTAGGTGAACTCTAAAATAATCTGTAGCAGTATGTTCTGATGAACGTAATCTCTAGAAAGAATACTACAGATCTAACAAGCATAAGCTAGAACTATATGTATTGACCTGGAAAGCCATGATAAATACAGGAAAACAAATCTGAAAGAATAAATTCCAAATTATTAGCAGTGTTTACCAGGAGGAGATTTGAGAGCACTCTGCTTATAGTCTCCAGAAAACAAGCAAACAAATTCCTGCCAAAAGTTATATAATTTCTCGAAGTTTAATTAGGTTTTAATTAAATATACTTTATAATCATTTCTCTACCTAAAGAATTATCGTATCACTTCTCAGCCTTTTGGCTAAGATCAAGTGTAGTATCTGTTTTCTCAGTTTAATATCTGATATGTCCTAAATTAAAAATAATAAAAAAGAATGATTGTAAAGGGGAGATACGAGAAACCAGAGAATCCACGCCCATGTGAAATAAAGCATAGTACCTATGCCAGAAAAGAGTGTGGTGCAGGCTGGACATGGTGGCTCATCCCTGTAATCCCAGCACTTTGGGAGGCCGAGGCCAGTGTATCATGAGGTCAAGAGATTGAGACCATCCTGGCCAACATGGTGAAACCCCATCTCTACTAAAATACAAAAAATTAGCCAGGTGCGGTGGCGCGCTCCTGTAGTCCCAGCTACTCGGGAGGCTGAGGCAGAGGAATTGCTTGAACCCGGGAGGCAGAGGTTGCAGTGAGCCGAGATCGGGCCACTGCACTCCAGTCTGGTGACAGAGCGAGACCCCGTCTCAGAAAAAAAAAAAAGAATGTGGTGCATTATGTTTAAAAATGTGACTCAGACTGGGCACAGTTGCTCATGCCTATAATCCCAGCACTTTGGGAGGCCGAGGCAGGGGGAAAAACCTGTCATCAGAAGTTCGAGACCAGCCTGGCCAACATGGTAAAACCTTGTCTCTACTAAAAATACAGAAAATTAGCCACATGCTGTGGTGCACGCCTATAATCCCAGCTACTCAGGAGGCTGAGACAGGAGAATCACTTGAACTCGGGAGGCAGAGGCTGCAGTGAACCGAGATCGTGCCACTGCACTCCAGCCTGGGTGACAAGAGCGAGGGAAACTCTGTCTAAAATATATATATATGTATATTTGACTGTAGAAATATAGTTTTACATGGGGGAAAAAATCCCCATAAGCAAAGTCAAAAGACAAGTGACAAACCAGGGAAAACTATTGGTAACTCATCAAAACTGAAGACTGGTTTTGCTGATATAAAAGTGCAGCAGAGGCTGGGTGTGGGTGGCCTCCACACTTGTATCCCATTTGGGAAGGCTGAGGCGGGTGGGAATCCACCTGAGGCGAGATCGAGCAAGCCTGGCCAACAGGAAAAACTCTGGTCCTCTTACTAAAAATACAGAAAATTAAAGCCAGGCATGGGTGACAGGCACCTGTAATCATACTATTCGGGAGGGCCAAAGGCACCGAGAATCACTTGAATGGGATGGAGGTTCAGTGAGCCAAGACCCGCACCATGGCAACTCCAGTGTGGACAACAGAGCCAAGACCCACTCTCAAAAAAAAAAAGTACACCCAGATCCTAGGCATGGTGGATTTCACACTGTAACCCAGCACTTTGAAGGCTGAAAGGCCAAGTGGACACTGGAGTCAGGAGTTCGAGAGCAGTCTGGCCAACTGGTACAACCCTGTTTCTTACTAAAAATACAAAAAATACTGGGCATGGTGCAGGCACTGTACCAGCTACTTCGCGAGTCGCCACGAGAAACAACCTGACCAGGAGCCGGGAGGTTGCCGTGAGCCGAGATGCACACAATGCCAGCTCAGCCTGCGGCAAACAAGAGTGAAACTCCGCCAGAATCGTGGCTCGGCTGCCCGCCGGCTGGCTCAACCTGTAATCCAGCACTTTGGAAGCCGGCAAGGCGGATCACGAGATCAGGAGATTGAGACCACGGTGAAACCCCGTCTCTACTAAAATACAAAAAATTTAGCTGGGCCGGGTGGTGGGTGCCGTAGTCCCCAGCATACTAAGGCGAGGCCTGAAGCAGGAGAATGGGTTGACCCGCGAGCGAGTTTGCAGTAAGCTTGAGATCGTCCACTGCACTCTCCAGCCTGGTGACAGAGTGAAGACTCTTCCGAAAAAAAAATAATAAATAAAATAGTAAAAATAAGTGCGTCCCATGTGAAACCTTCCTGAAGGCAGGCGTGTGTCCTCACGCCTGGTAATCCCAGCACTTCGGGAGGCGAACCGGGCAGATCGCCTGAGGTCAGGGTCAGACCAGCCCTGGGCAGCATGGGAAAAACTCTGTCGCACTAAAAAATAGAAAAATTACCAGGGGTGGGCAGGCCACCTGTAAATCCCAGCATCGGCGAAAAACCTGAGGCAGGAGAAAATCACCGGAACCTGGAAGGCAGGAGGTTGCCGTGAGCCGAGATCAACCCATTGAACTCCAGACTCGGGCCAACAGAAGCAAGATTCTTCCAAGAAAATAAAAAAAATAAATAAAAGCTGCCTAACAAGTAAAGAAAAAAGAAAATACAACAACTAGAGAAATAAGGCCAGGTTGTGGACAGACAGAACAGGAGTTTTTTTTTTTTTTTTTGAAGACGGATTGCGCTCTGTCGCCCAGCCGCCCCCTGGAGTGCAGTTGGCCGGTATCCACTCACTCCAACTCTTCCTCCCGGGTTCACCGCCATTCTCCGCCTCCAGCCTTCCGAGTAGCCGACCACAGGCAGGCGCCGCACTCCGCCCGCTAGTTTGTGTGTATCTTAATAGAGATGGGGTTTTTCACCGTGTTAGCCAGGATGGTCTCGATCTCCTGACCTCGTGATCCGCCCGTCTCGGCCTCCCAAAGTGCTGGGATTACAGGCTTGAGCCACCGCGCCCGGCCAGAAAAGGAGTTTTAAGCATAGGAAAAGGTACTCATCCTCACTTGTAGTAAAAGAATTGTAAATGAAATCTACACTGAGATACAACTTTTTATCTATCAAGTAGTCACAGATCAAAAGGTTTATTAGCACAGTGGAGAAGAGGGTAAAGAAACTGGCATGCTCATACTTTGTTGTTGGAAGTGAAATTGGAGAAATCTCTATGCAGATTAGGTACTTAGCCACATCTATCAAAGTTACAGTTGCAATTATCATTTTGTCTTGCAGTTCCACTCTTAAGAATTTATCCTACAGATAGTCTCAGACAAGTGTGAAATAATGTATTGCAAAGTTGTTTGATGCAAAATTAGAATTAACCTGAATATCAAGCAACAGGTGGCTAAAATTGTCTGGCAGATCCATCAGATATTTTTCTATATAGCTGTAAAAAGGAATGAAATCATATTTTGTGTACTGATGGGAAATAATCTCCAGTATACATCATTAAGAGAAAAAAGACAAAGTGTATATTAAATGAAAAAAGACAAACTGTGTGTACAGTATTCTGCTTTTTATGTAAAAACATAATGGAGAACACACTGTATACAAAAAAATAACTCAATATGGATCAAAGACCTAAATGTAAGAGCTAAAACATAAAATCCTTAGAAGAAAACACAGTTTTTGCACAAGTGATTAAAGAAAATTGAGAAGTTGGGCTTAATCAAAATAAAAAATATTTGTGTTTCAAAGGCCATATTTAAAAAGTCAGAGGAAAATCTATAGACTGGCTGGGCACAGTGGCTCATGCCTGTAATCCCAGCACTTTGGGAGGCCGAAGTGGGTGGATCACCTGAGGTCAGGAGTTAGAGACCAGCTTGGGCAACATGGCAAAACCCTGTCTCTACTAAAAATAAAAATACAAAATTAGCCAGACGTGGTGGTGAGCACCTGTAATCCCAGCTACCTGGGAGACTGAGGCAGGAGAATCGTTTGAACCTGGGAGGTAGAGATTGCAGTGAGCCGAGATTGCGCCATTGCACTCCAGCCTGGGCAATGAGAGTGAAACTTCGTCTCAAAAAAAAAAGAAAAAAGAGAAAATCTATAGACTGGAAAAAAATATTTGCAAAGCATATATTCTATAAGGGACTTGTGTCCAAATATATAAATAACTCATAGTACAATTCAACAATAAAAAGGCAATCCAATTAAAAAATGGGCAAAGGATTTCAATGGACGTTTCTCCAAACAAGGCATATGAATGGCCAATAAGCATGCAAAAAGATGCTCAACATTAGTCGTTAGGGAAATGCAGATCAAAACTATGATGTTTTTCGCATTCATTAGATTTCACATTCATTAGAATGGCTAGAATAAAAAAGGCAAACAGTAGCAAATGTTGACAAGGATGTGGAAAAGGTAGAGCCCTCATATGTTGGTGGTGGGAATGTAAAATAGTTCAGTTGCTTTGGAAAAGTTTGACAGTTTCTCAAAATGTTAAACAGAATTGCCATATGGTCCAGCAATTGTTTTAAGTATCTACCTCAAAGAAATGAAAACATATGTTCATACTTTC